TATATATATATATATATATACACTACAAAATTACAGGACTTTCCAAGTACTTTTTAATCACAAAAATGCGATTTCCAAGGACTATTTTTGAAGATGTTTTTTGATGTTTGCAAAGTTTCCAGTGCCGACTTTCCAAAATAGCCAAATTTCGATGCAAACGGCAAATATGTTGATTTCATCAGATTCAAAGAGTTTTCCAGGAGTTTTAGTATTTTTTACCATTTTCAAGGGCTTTTCAAGCACCCTTGAAAACGAGTTTTCAATTCCAGGACTTTTCAACGATTTCAAGGAGTAGCGTGAACTCTGCTTATTGTTTTGGCCAAGCAATTGTACAGTCTGTTTCACAAAACAAATAGTCTACATCAATTAATCAAGAGTCCTCATTTTTCTTTGGAAAATGTTCATGTGCTCATTTACTTAGATACTACAACTACAACTCAACCAATTTATTTACGGTTTGTGAAAAAAATGCCTTTGAAGATGAAATTATAATAAAATAGTTTGCCATTATTTCCTCTTTACTCTTGCAAAGAATTAACGTCTAAAACGAAGTATTTCACCTCCTTTTTGAGAAACACAACGCAGTTCACACTAGTTTATCCCTAGTTCCCATCATTTTGACATTACCGTAATTGCTCGAATACGCGATACGGCGCTTATTTAATTTTTAAGTATATGCTTTACTTTTAATAGCAAATTTAACGAATACAACAATTTCGTTATTGGTATATCAAAGCAGCTTAACAGTATGCTAATTTTCTATAACATTTTTAAAACTTGGTGCCCTTTTTTCAATCAATTTTACCATTATGTATAGTATTAAATATACCATCATAAAGGTCCACCGCAGAAAAATAGGGGGCGCTTATTCGGGGGAGGCACTTTAATTATTTTGGATCACAGGGGGTGCTTATTCGAGCTATTACGGTATTTACCTTATCAAACTCATCTATCAAACAAGTCCCTTTGTCTGCAAGCACTAGGGCACCAGCCTCAAGTGTCCACTCTTTAGTGACTGGGTGTCTTTGTACATATGCTGTCAATCCAACAGCCGATGCGCCCTGACCAGTTGTAAACACAGCTCTTGGTGCTGTCTTTTCTACATATTTTAGAAACTGTGATTTTGCAGTTCCTGGATCACCACACATGAGGACATTGATATCACCTCTTATTTTATGTTTACCACCTATGAGAAAAAATTGAACTTAGTGCCTCAAATAAAAACAACAAGGGCTATATTAACAGGCAGTCCTTTTCGTACTACATCACAGCCATTCCCTCTCCCTTCTCGTACATGAATATCTGATATATCCCATACAAACAAATATATCAATTCTATACCAGGATCCTTAGCAACACCACCAAATAAGGATAATGCAATGGCTCTTTTCATATCTTCATGGCCATATATGGATGGTCCAATACTTGCAATAATCTATTAAAGATCAAAAGCACAAATTATTAGAGAGTTTTCGATTCACATTTACTACAAACGCCAAAAGTCAAATTGGATTTTAGGCTTTGTCTCAAAATTTCAAACAAATGTAAAAACGCTTTGAAAGGAATAGTGATGCACTTATGTACGGAAAAGTGATCTATTTTATACACAATCACAAAAGAACAGAGCATTAGAAAAGCAGTGATCACATGATCAGTTTTGACATTTGGCTTTTGCCGTAAATGCGTATCTAAAACTCTCTAATACATGCAAAGAAGTATCCTCTTAAAAAGCTATTAGAATTAAAGGTTTCTAACACAAACAAAACTGGATGGTCATGGTTAGCTGGAATAGCTCTCTAAACCATTAAAACCAAATTGAGGCAAAATCAGGCAACATGATTGCTGCAGCCCTCAAATGTAAAAGAGTGAAATACGTAAGTCATGTCAAAATCATGATTTTCCTACCAACAATGTTACGTGACAAAAACGTAACTCAAACGACCATATTTTGGATGCTGCCAAATTCCGCCTCACTTTATTGCAAAACCACAGTTTTCCAATGCAGTTTTAACTGGTAAAAGGGCTATTGAAGTACAATCTATTATAAATCTAAAGTTTGTTGAAGAAGGCCGAAGTGCCGAAACATCCATTAAAACAGAGTTATTATAGCTTCAAGTTGGTGTTTTGTTCTATTTCATTCTACTTAAATCTAAAGAGATCTCTATTTATTGCAAGAGTGTCTGTGTGTGGACACAGTCAGGCTTTACACAATAGCATTTACAGACCCAACAGAGACATCAAACTCTAGCTTGCTGAAGTGTATACAATAATCATTATTAAGCTTCTTACCCTTTCGCCAATTCGCTCATCTTTAGACAAGTCCATGATGGCTTTAACATCTTCATCTGTTAAACTTGTGACAGCCATTTTGTCATCTTGTTTAGAGATATAGTTAGCTTCAATGACTGTAGCAAATACTGGGAAACCATTTGATCTGTTCAGAGACCAATCATAGTTGATCTTGTAGATACCAGTCAGCTCCTGTGAAAAAAAAATATATTTAGGTTTCATTTAAAGACAGTACTATACAGACCTATACAGCAACAGATTTCACATTCCCATGAAACCACATGGCACTAACAACACAAAATGACAATAAAACCAGGGTCCATGCAGAGTATCAAAAACGAAATTTAAGGACTTTTCAAGGACCAAAATTGTATTTTCAAGGAACATAATCCTGCTAATTGTACATTCTTACCTCAAAACTTCAGCCGAACGGAATAATTCCGAGATCGCTAACGCTTCGTGATAGAGATCTATCTTTTTCAAGGAGTTTTCAAGGACTTTTTCAAAATTTTCAAATTTTCAAGGAGTTTCAAGTGCCCTTGAAAACAAGTTTTCAATTCAAGTACTTTTCAAGGATTTAAGGACCTACACAGACCCTGAAAACCCACTGTCGCTAGAAGTTAAAACTTACAATTGTTTTGCAGAAAAAAGATATAGAATTATTACTTTGTAACCCAAATTAGGAACTCAAGCTTTGTCAATGCATCCAAGATTGAGCAAGAGCATGACTATTTTTACACATTTGATTCTTCAATCTGTCAGAAATGCAATTTACTATAGCCATCAAACACAACTCTACTTAGTTTTGTAGTGGTACCCATCAAAGCTTTTTAGTTTCCTATCATGTCATTAGGAAGTCTGTGGTCTTTCTTCAAAAGTTCTTTGAGTTGAGAAGACTTACAATTTCATCACCAGGCTTACAGCTGTCCACAAGGTCAGCAGTAAGGACGACATCTTTGTATCTTGGTAAGCGACCAGCAGCAACCTTACTGGGACTTTCTTGAATCTTGATCTTTTGATAGTTTTGATATAGCGTCTGATAATAATAATAATGTCTTTATTAATTAGTAAAAGTTACATATTAATTATTACCATGACAAAGCATGGCTGTTATCATACAATCACAGCTTACATTAAAGGGACACTGTCAATGGATGACATGCGCAGTAACAGTCTCACCTCTAACGGACTTTGAAAGTATAACCTTCGAGGTAAATCATTTTGTAGTGCTTTTGACACACTTTGGAATATTCTAGGTCTGTTTACGTTTACGATCTGATTTATGTCGCGCCAACTTGGAGTCATAAACTTGAAAACACTAGCCTAGTGTTTTCAAGTTTACTCGCGCATGTCATCCATTGACAGTGTCCCTTTAACATCCTTTTAAGACAATATTATTTTAAGAAATCATTGCCATACTTCATACCATGAGAAACTCACAAAGGTACAGATCTCATACTCACAACTTTCAAAAATGGCGCAATATGTCATGGTCGTCGACCAAGGCACTGGGGATGAAGCACTAAAATAACTAGGTCTCAAAGGGCAGCGTATAGTAAACTTTGATGGTGTCTTGCAAGAATGTTTTGTTGTAAATAACATATCAAAACATCATTCAAACTCTTAGACACAACATGCATGTGATCCTTGTAGTTATTTCTAGATAGAAGGCATTTGAGCTCTCGTTTCTTAAAATATTCTTTTTTTCTTGCTTCAATTATTCATCGCCAGTCCCCAATATGGGTAGACATGAACTGGTGCCACCTTTGAAAGTTGTGTAAGGTTTAAATACATGAGCTTCAAGAGGTAAATGAAAACCAAAGTAACCTTGGAAGACTTTGTTAAATCATTCCCTACAAATTTATGCATGTTCATGTCATTGTCACTTTATTGACAAACAACTAACCTGTTCCATGTTGATTTCGAATGGACCACGTGATTGACATTCGGGACATGAACCAGGTTTGATCTCCTGGTCTGAATTTTGAAAGAAAGGTCCAAGAATAAAGGAGCACTTTGGACAGTCGTACTTGATGACACTTAGCTGTGGCATGATACCGGTACTGCTGGTAACCACCCCACATGTACGAATCAGCTGATTAACATGAAGCTGCCTGGAATAAGGAACACAAAGAAACCTTTGTAAACTTTATCACTGAACATTTCAACTCAAATTTTCCCTCTGATAAGAATTAACAAATGCTTTGTTTGAATTAAAGAAGAAGCAAGAGAATTTAAAAGTGCTCAATGTTGTACACAAATAGTCTTCTTCAAAGTTTCCTGAATTGTAATATGATAGAAACCTGTGAATGATAATTGTGTGTAGGTGTGAAAAAAAAAATTAAGATTGGACAATCAATAGCTGTCTTGCTTCAATCAAAATGCATGGCTACCTTTCAAGATGGCACAGGGAACCATGAAGAAGACTATGAAGAAGTTCATGTACGTGATACATCATTTTGCACTCTTAATATTACACAACAAACATTATTGCAACTTACCTAAGAGAAYGTAGCTGTTCCATGAGGGGCAAGTCCTCTATTCTAACATGTATGTCTGTTGTAATGCGGTCATATTTTGGAAACATGGCAAGGACAACCTCTTTTGCTGCCTGTAAGTCAAAGGAGCAAAAAAATTAAAAAATATGTTGCAGAATTCATTCATAATTTTACTGGTTCAAATTTGAGTCTTACCTCATCTAAAATTTGCAGCATTTCAGTTGGTGCTTCAGGTAAAAAATATGCCAACACTTGTTGTTCGTTTGCAAGGACATTGTAATTGATAACTAAGCTCTGCTTGTTTGCTTAAAGAAAAGAGGTATCAAAAGGAATCAAAATTGAGCAAATAAAACTTAAAAAGATGCTTTCAAAATGTCTTACCTTCACACATTTGTCTGATTTTTTCTCTGTATACACTATGGCCCTGGTCATCAACAAAAGTCCTCAAAAACTGCTTGAATCGATTTTTGATTTCTAGTCTAGGAGCTTGCATGGAAACCCATTCACGCACTGAATGCCCCTTCATGTCTTCAAGATTCTCTATACTTTCAATTGCCTATGAAGAATGTAATATATCGTGTAACTAACATTATTACAATTATTATTTTCATTTCAGTAGCTGCTGGCCAGCATAGCAATGGTCCAAGCTGCATGATAGGTAATCCATCATCAGCCATTGATCAATCACAAATGCTGTGTCTTAGAATCCATAGGCAAGCTATTGACAGGCATGTCGGAATTATGTGCGAAAAAAATCAAAATTATGCGGAATTTTTTTCCCCATATTATGCGGAGAAAAGAGTGAATTATGCGGAAAATTATGCGGTATGACGTCATCACAGGAACGTAAACTTTGGGAAATTTTACATATATTTAGGTTATTGTGCTTGTTTTTCATGCAAAACTCCGTTTTTATCTTAGTTACGAAGTACAGAAGGCAGTACCAACAGAAGGAAAGATCTTTTCAGACTTTTTCGTTCTCGCACGCTTTACGTCCCACTTGTATCATACGCCATATTGGAATTTGTCACGTGATCTAGTAAGGCACAGGGTGACCAGTAATGCTAGTGCCCAGACTCTTTTCTGATGAAATTTTGAACGCCTGGTACATTTGTGAAGCCCACGAAAACAAAACTATATTCGGAAAATTATAAGCATGTTTGGGAGCATTTTTTGATAAAAAAAACAGTCAATGGACCACAAAAAACATTAGTAGAAGGCAAGTCATCTTAAAAAATGGTATAACATGGGAAAAAAATACAAATTATGCGGGATTATGCGCGATTTGGTAAATTATGCGGAAAGGGGGCAATTATGCGCGTCCGCATCCGCGCATAATTCCGACATGCCTGTATTGATAAGTAGCTTTACAACAAGCAAGTAAACAGCAGCCAATGCTTTGATTTTGACCTACAATCCCGGACAAAACGGTTGAGACATTTCTTGAAATAGATTGAATTTCGATGACCTATCGGTCTGTAAAAAGTGTCCCCCATTCCCCCTCAAATCAATGTTGAAGGGACTGAACATTCATGCACACCCTTCTAGCATCACGTCTRACACACAACATTGAACTGTGGGGGGAGGGGAGGATCAGAAATAGTAACTTTTTAGAAAGATGAGAATTGGGAGTATTTCAGCGCGAAAAATGCCACTGTCTCAACAGGTTTTGTCCGGGATTGTAGCTAATTTGTACTTAACCATCACAATTATGACTTCATACCTCATCATCATCTTGGAAATCTCCTTCTGCAGCACGTTCAGCAATCCTTCGTCTTCTTGTGGGACGATCCTCGTCATCATCGTCATCATCTGAGAAAAGAAATTCAAATCATAAGCACTGAAAATGTTTGTATGATATCATAATTTGATAGCTCAAATGGTATTAAGTTTTGATTGTTTTGCAAAGAAAAGTGTTGTTATGAAGTTTTGATTGTTTCGCAAAGAAAAGTGTTATGAAATTAATATTAAATATATGAAGTAAAATAAGAGTTTACCATAAAGAATTCCTCTTCTAAGACGACCTGTTGCCGCTGCGGTCTCCCTGTCTCTTTTTCTCATAGCCCTCTCTGCTGCTACTCGTGCTTCTGGGTCCATGTCATCATAGTCGTCCTCGTCTAGATTGGCAGGGTCGTAAGTGTCCAGTGCTGGGATGGCTCGGTAGTCACTAGAGTCATAAGTCCAAAAAGTTGAACTTCAAATTTCAAGTTCCATATAACATTTCAATTGATCATTTTCAGATTAACTGACTGGTTGGTCTTATAACATTATATTGTTATCATCATTATCATTATCAATGGTTGAAAATCACTTACTCTTCAAGTCTGTCACCGAACAGTTCTTCTCCTTCGTCCTCTTCAACACCACTTCCCTCATTTCCAAGAATTGCGTCGGTATCATCCTCAAATGGAGGCAGATCTCTAGCTGGACTTGAAGTAAGTCCATCAGTCCTTGCTGGACTACTTGGTACTCCGATACTACTCGATGATTGGTCCTTTTACATAAACAAAATATGATCTATTTATTATTATAATACTGAGACCATATGAACCAAAACAAAAACCCCCTCCCCTCCCCCAACAGTAATTTTTGTAATTCGTACAATTGTACATATATCCACAAGCTTGCTCAATTCCTCTTAATACAGAAGTATTGAAGTTCATTTATCCGTTGACAATTTTCCTTACATTCAATATTTCGCCATACAAATCACAAACAACAACTTAATAGACGATGCACGATTAGGCAAACAGTATTTCTTTGCGAAAATATTTCGTACAAATCCTTTCTTCAGCGAGTTAACTAAAAAAAATCAACCACAGAAGGAAAAAAAGACAGTTTGAATTAATATATCACGGCAAGCATTCTAGAGACAATACGAAAAGGAAATATGCTCAAAGTCGTTAGAAGTGTAGAGCACAACGACTCGTACGAAAATAATCTCGAACAAAAACTGCAAAAAACTCGTTCAAATTAGACTCGATCGTAATACAATTTTCCAAGAGCATGAAAGTAAGAAAAGTAAAGAGAATTATAGATAATAAAGTTAGTTGTGAGCAAGAATTGAGTAATAAAACAGCAAAAAAATACGACAATCTTACCGCCATGCTTTCTTGATCGACCGGCTGATTCTTTCACGTGATCAAGATTTCCCGCGCTTTGGGACTTTAACACCAGAGCGAGGCCTCACGTTGGGATACCTGTGGAATTCGTGTTAGAGGGAAAAAAGAAACGTTTAATTCTATATAATGGAATGAATTTATCCTCCTCTATCTTCTTAAAAACATAAGGTATATATTTTACAGTAATCAACAGCTCCCAGTATTTTCCCTACTTTTTTACATGCGTGAGTTCAGCAAAAATCAGTTCCTTCAAAATCTATTAAATTTGCAGCTTGAAGAATACTTTAATTATTAAATAAATAAAGTCGGATAAAGATTTGGAAGCAAACTATGACTTTCGATATTAGTCTTCTTTCTTCCTTAGACAATTGTAAGACCTTGTAATTTTGTATGCACAAGTTGAAAATAAGTTAAAATAAATGAATTTTATCACGCACGGCGATTCATATAGACTTGAATTTCTTCCATTTCAAGAAGTGTTATTCACCTCTAATCTATTAACTCTGATTTAAGAGCCTGTTTGAGTATTTTCCAGCCGAGGCAATCTCCGGTTTTTTAAAACATTTATAACTATTTTCCTCGCCCCCGGACTGAAATCAAATTGACCGCGCCCCAACTTCAATTAACGCTGACTGGCTACCATCAAAACTATCTAAAAGTCCGCTGTACATCCTCCTCAAATAAAAATACAATTAAGAAATCTTTTTTTGTGCTTAGAACAATTGTCAGCTTCGCGGCGGGAAATGCCAAGAAAGCTGCCAGATGCTACCATTGCGCGCAATATAATTACTTTCAACAATATGGAATTTTAAATAAATCGTTGAGGACACGATGAAAGCTTCAAGAAGAAGAATTTATTTACTAAGCGTTTTAAGACGCCATTACAAATAGACTTGACAGATTGGTTAAAAGATATATGATTCAAGTGACGTCATTTGGAAAAGTGTCGATCATCGATTCATACGTGCGATTTAAGGATCTTTAAATTTCAGTTTCGAGATTTCTTGATCAACTGAGTCACAGATTTCAGTGGATTTCTTGTACAGCTAATCCTATAAGGGTATATCGTGAAGGTTAGTAGCACTCAATGCAATGAGCAAACGATGATCTTATAAATTTCTGTGAGCTCAAAAAAAATCAAATCTATTTAACTAATTTCAGGATTTGATTTGATTTGAGAAGGTCTGGCTTCAGGAAAAAAATCATAATATACGCATAATTTTGGATTTTTTTTTTWAATTTTTTTTTAACCGGAGATCACTTCAATATAGTTTGCAAGTGGCTTGAGTATCTTTCCAACGACACTTCAAATGCGACAAGAAAATAAAGCTGACGAGACTAGCCTTCTTTATATATGCTAACATGAAGGTAGAACTACTCAAGTTAGCACGAGCGACAAATATTTCATATACTTTTTACTGGCAATGTTAGCAAAGTATATTTTCTAACTTGATTTGATTTGATTTGAGAAGGTCTGGTATCAGGAAAAATTTCATAATATACATATAGAATTCTTTTTTTTTATTTTATTTTTACTCGAAGATCACTTCGTAGTTTGCAGGTGGCTCGATTTATCTTTCCAACGACACTTCAAATGAGACAAGAAAATAAAGCTGGCTGACACGAGCCTTCTTTATATACTAGCAACCAACAACGAAATGAACTGAAACATTCCTTTTTTATGTTTTGTCTAAGCTCTAATAAGATAGAATCACTCATGTTAGTATATACTTTTTATCTTTTTACACAACTGTTTCTATAGAAACACTGACGCAGCTCACACTAGTTTACCGCTACTTCCCACCATATACTTTTTAGCAATGTTAGCAAAGTATATTTTCTACGTTGATAAATTTGGCAGAATACTAACGCAATATCAACATGAAATGACAAAACATCGAACTAGCAGCCGCGTAATTCATTGTTTTTTATCATACTGACATGAAGATGTTACAAAACTGTCATGCACTTCTCGATCAAAAGAACCTCGGGACTTTATACGTAATACTTTCAGTCCCCAGTTCTTGATCAATCCATATAATTGGAAAATAAGTGTATTTTGATTTATATGGCGGAAACTAGCGGTGAACTGTGTGCTGCGTCGGTGTTTCTATAAAAGAAACAAAGATAAATTTTAACACCGTAACAACTTACACTGCGGTTTTGGAAGCTAATCCAACGTTGGGGTAAAGCCAATGGATTAATTAACGTCCGAAACGTCAGTAAGTTGTTTTCACTTACTTTTTTAAGGTGTTAAAATTTAATATCTGTTTTATACAACTGTTATTTTGATTTATCACTCGTCTCAAGCGCCCGATCTTATATATGTACCGATTGAGCCGGTGAAAAAAACAACAACAACAAAACAGAGAGTTAGAAGAAGTAATTACCAATAAGTTTRTCATGATTAACTTTCGGGGTCGAAATGGTCCGAAAAAATAATCAATTATTCTCAAGTTTGGATGAAATATTTGACTTAAGTCTAAGCGACCATTTTTCTTGCTTGAAGAGCTTAACTGGTAAGCTTCTTTTTGCAAAATAAAAACCAAATATGCATCGATAACTTCTTGGAAATTCCGAAAAAGTTATAATTTTCAAAAAGTTTCAAAGCCATTATTTTTTTTTCTGAATGATTTAAAAAGCAATTCAATCAGCGCTCAAAATCTCCCATCCAAGAAAATATATCGCTTTTTTGACTAAAACTAATCAGCCATGGAAAGTCATTATGGCGCATCGTTTCCAAACAAATAAATCAAAAATCTTATACCTTTGTGATTCAAAAAAGATAGATATATAAATTTTTAATGGGATGAAAGTTGACTTTTTATGAGTTAAACTGATAACCGGAGTTTAGTCGGAGGAATTCATGGGCCACTCACAAATGGTGACTCTAGAATTAATGAGATAGATTCTTTATGTATATTTATATAACAATGGACTTTTATTTCTCGAATTCTGCGATGTTATACCTACACGGGGATCACCTTATTCCATGGGTTTTATTTGAACTTGAAGAAAGAATGAAACGACGTAGAGAGAACTACAAATGCTGACAAACAATCATAAATTATTAACGAAAAATCATGAATAATATGAATGGAAAAAATGGAGTAAAGAAAAACGAGTTTAATCAGGTTAAATCAGTATGTATGCTTGATAATAAGTTTTACATTTCCTTGCCTTGCGAGAAATCCAAGTGTTAAAAAAACCCTCTCCAACTATAGGGATAAATGAGAGTTTAAATGAGGGATAAACGAGAGTTCAAATAGGGATCAATGAATGTTCAAATAGGGATCAACGAGAGTTCAAATAGGGATCCATGAGTGTTCAAATACGGATCAATGGGAGTTCAAATTGAAGTTATAACTGTAAAACATCTAATTCATTGACTTCGTTCGAATGCATCATTTGCTCGAGCACTATGCATTAAACTCTTTCATGTCTTTTTCTACATCATGATTTGGTCAAATAATAGAAAGACAGTGTTATAGCTAAGTATTTCTGACCAGCCATCGAAGTAAATCACTACCTTGGTTACCAAAGAAACATTGAAAGTTTAGCGGTCGCAGAAGTAAAGCCCTGGGAGATTTTGATGATGACATCTAYTTATAATTAATAGAGTTTGTTATTTGGATGGGAAATGTCACATAAAACTCAATCGATCTTGCTTTGACATAATGTATGGTTGGTTTACTTTCGATATTGGAAAGAATCTGACTGCATTGTTGAAAAAGGTAAACTTTTAACAACCATCTTAAAAAAACTTGATTAATTGATCAGAGTACGTACCTGATTGAATCTGGACTTTTAAAGCTCGGGTTCGTTTATTGCTGCAAAATTCCCAAGGATTGCAGTGGGGAAAGAGGTCAGATTGTTAAATTTTATTAGCATCTTTATCGAAGAAGACTGAAACGGCTCCAAGTGTTCTACATCAAACGCTAAATGTAACCGTAGGCAACTGAAATGACATCAAAATGCTATAAACAACCTAAGATAACGTCAGCACAAGATTGATTATTATATTTGTTTAAAGTTGTGCTCTTCCTAATAGCTTGTTGTGTATTGAGATCTTTTACAATTTCGCACATAGATTTCTGAGTGTTCATATTTCAAAACTTCCGACACCACTTTTTAGCAGCAATACAAACTGTACGGCCACTGAAGGATATCCGGGTTTTGTATTCTTATGAGGTGATTTAAAACAAAGAACAGAATCTCGCTAAAGAAAATTTGGAGTGAAAGAAATTCTATTGTTTTTCGATATGGTCGACCTCACGAGATGGTATAACACGTCCATTAATACAACTATAAACTAGAATTTTTTGTTTCACCGTTTTAGAAAGCAATTTGTCTTTCAACTAGTTTTAGTTTGTTTCGGAAAAGGAAAAAAAAAAACCGAAATACAACGAATAAAAATCAGACGAAAAGCATTATGGTAGTTCAGTGAAAATTGATTGCATATTATAAAAATTTTGGCAATAACTCTCGCAAGCTAAAAATGATTTATTTGTATTGTTYACAGTATTTCTACTATGCCTACAAAGTTATTCTTCTCAATAAGCATTCCACTGGTTTTGCTGTTCGCAATTCCTAGYACATATGCTTCGCGATGCAGTAAAAAAATGGAGTCAATTTATGGCAAAGCACTAGTGAATCATACTTACAACACCATCGAGGCAGATAATTTAGGAGACTGCTTGATGCGCTGTGCCCAAGACTTCTCAGATAAATGCCGTAGCACCAACTGGGATATCATGACCAGCAAGTGTGAATTAAACAATGCAAAATATGAAGACCACAAAGTCGATTTGATGGACAAGGACGCATCGGTATACATGACCTCTATTGGTAAGGATACTGTTGTGATCTGATACCTTATCAGAGGGACTGATTTCGTGTTGGGAACTGTTTACAAAGAGCAGCCAAAAAAAATTCATGCACTGAGCTCTATAGAGTAATGAAGATCGAAAGAGGAGAGACTTTTTGGCGAACATAGTGTCTTTTGCTGTTCCTTTTGCTGTTCCTTTGCATCGAAGCGAGACGACCGTTGAGCAGGCAATGATAGAAACCTTCTTTCACAGCTACAGAAAATTATTCATAGGTATCTATCATAGCGCCAAACTAAAAAGTCGTCTCGCTTCGATTCAAATGCACGGCTACCTTTCAAGATGGCGCAGGCAACCTTTGAGGACACGCCGCTGCAAGAGCTGTTCCTAAATTAAGGAATATTCTCGTTCGAGCTAGAGGGGTGAGAGCTCGAAAAATGTACTCGAGTCAAAGTCACCGCATCTCAATAACAGCCAGTCAAAGAGAACTTAAGCGTATATAACATTGTCAGTATATATTTTACGAAACCTTTCGGAGAGAATTAGCTATACTGATCGCCAAAAATAGTGACAAATTCACTAGGCATTATTAATGGATGGACAATTGAACTGTGATAGAGTTTGTTCTTATATACACCTTCATCCTATAATGTTTTGTCATCTTAATTCTGCTACTAGTCACAGGACAATCTGTACTCATGACCAAACCATCCATACCAACCGAGAAAAAAAACGCGGCCAAGTCATGCCAAGATATTTTACAAAGTGGTAGATCAATGGGGGACGGGGAGTACTCCATCGATCCTGAGAGCACAGGAAACCCAATCAAAGTTTACTGCGATATGTCAACAGAAGGCGGTATGTAATGAGATGACAATTTCATATCGATTTCACTGGAAAAAATCGCGCGCGCTTTAAAGGTTGTAAATTTGATGTAAATATCATGTAAGTGTCCAAAATTCTGTAAATTGAATGGAAATCATTTACATCAAATTTACAAAATTTTGGACACTTACATCATATTTACAAGCTTCTTTAAGACGCATGATTTTTTCCAGTGTTTAGATCTTTGTTAATATTAATAAAAAAAATTGTGTTTGTGCTGCAAATGCACTAAAATCACTTAGAAACTACTGACGTGCCAATTTAATTTCATACAAATATCAACTATCTCCAGGTGGATGGATTCTAATAAAAAACCGAACATTGTCAACGCCAGTTCCATCTATTGCCCTTACCAAATCCGACGATTACCGCGATATCTCCAAACACAGCCAGTTAGACATGTACCTGTCAATCAAGGCACTGAGTAAACTACGCACTGTTATTGGTGCAAAGCAGTTAAGGTGGTTTTGTACTAAGAAAAGGGACGGAAGCAGGATATTCCATGTGATGACTAAGACAAATACAGAAGGTATGTACATGGAGTTGATTACGCAATTCAAATCCTATGAACATCCGACAACCTTTGCGCGATTCTGTCACTATACGAAAAATCGCCATCTTAATTATAAACCTAAAAGAGTTTCATCAACATGTATTTAAAACAAAGTAAAAGATCGCAAAAGCTCTTGGACGCATGTGTGTCTTTAATGTGATTTTAGTGTAACCATGAACGAAAGATTTTTATCACATATCTATATAGCCTATTATTTATCCATTTCGTAAAAATGTTATTCTCACACGCGAGGCAGTCGGTAACTTGGTGCACAAACATGTGCATGTTCGATGTGTGAAAGACGTTTCAAGATGTCGGAAGGAGACTGTTGCCATGAGCACGAGTATTTAATCCGATCCATAGTGTTATGGTCTTTCTAATATCAGGGACCAAGGTGTTTGAGTACTTCACAGACAGCAGCAAGACATACCGTACCGCCTGTGGATCATTTGATAAGCTTGCAGACGATAACTCAATGTTATCCCAGAATTGTAGGAGTTGGGGAAAAGACGGTGATAGACTAAGGGTCGACAAATGGAACTGGGAAGTCAATCAAGATATGAGGTGATAAAGCAGTCAGAAAGAGTTTTTAAACTCTTAAAATTAAAATTAAAATTAAATTAATCTGCACTATAATTACCCTATCGCATTATTACGTCACACCAATAAAACTTTCTATTGCTTTAAACGGTAAGGATTATGGTCGCCAGAGGGGATCAAAGTGAATGCATGTGTAGATGAGCTATCAGAGCTATCATTGATAAGAGAACATACTGAGGAAATGCCTTTTGATTTCCATCCAAAATGGCTTTCATGACGTAGCTTCAGTTGCAAGCCAAGAATAGCCTTCTTCGCGGTTCCCTGGGGTATCTTAATATTATATTAATTAATATTATATTAATTATAATGACAAACTTTCAGTGTGATTCATAAAAGGTTCGACGTTCGCCAAGAGAAAACTGAGTCGTCATATCATTCTCTCTTTCAAATTTCCCTAATTTATGAAATGATGCATTTATGATGCAATATACGTGTTTTTCAGAATATTTCGCAATGTGGCACGTTGGGAAAATAACTACGCCTTTGGGATGTATAAGGATGAATTTAGCTGTGACGACCAATACAATTCAGCCAAGAGCACTGTATCTACTGGTGATAGGTGGCTTGTTTATATCCGATAAACTTCGAAAGGCCAACTTATATCCATATTTGCGCAAAATCTTGAAATCGGGAAACTGCAAAGCAGAAACCACCCAATTTGTGTTTGCGGTAGCCTCCTCCCCAGGGCTCCCCAGCCAACTCTTTTTTCCTCCTTTGGGCTTTCTTTGCAACGGTCATTTTGGCCGTTAGGGACTAGTGTCGAGATAGGAAAATAAAAAAAAGACAGGAAGCCCGTGCTTGTTTATGATGCCTGCGGACGAGGCTATGTTGCAGATGGTTCTTTAGGGACGGTCCATTTGCTGTCTTGTTGCAGTTGTTTCTTTAGGGACGGTACATTTGCTGTCTTTTAAAAACTGGGTATACATTTCACCCGACATGACCAGGCTCTATACAATTTAGATAAAATCCGATATGATTTTTTTGTGTGTCTTGAACATATGGTAATTTCTTCAACCAAAAAATACCATAGAAATAGTAGGAATACCGTTTCACTGTACTAAAGTCTTATTGACTTTGATGGATGTAAATATAATTTCAGTTTTGATAGTAACGGGCTGTTCAAAGCCGATCTCTCATGCGTTAACGACAAGGCTTGATTAATTCAGTGATTTTTGCTTCTGAAGAGATCTTTTAACCATGTTTATCCAGGTTTAAGTGAAGATGAAAATCTTCTCTCAGACATATATATATAATTAAACGCACAACCATATAAAAGTTACTTCAACCTAAACTTTTATTTATACTTAGTCAAGCTTTCAAGATGTTGTTTTGTAAACTGTGACGTTTTTTCATCACTAGTTTATTTTAATGGCTCGTTGAGCTGAAAGACAGACTAAAGTAAAAAAAATTTTTAATATGTTGAAGTAACGTTTAAATCATTATGAATCGACTGACCTACAGTCATCTATTTGTTATATAATTAAACACCTCCACATTTTTTTGCATGCTCGTTATTTATTTATTTCCTTTTAGTTTATTTATTTCCTTTTAGGGCTAGTTATACCTCAGAGATTCTTCTACAGAACCAGTCAAAGACACCTTGAACGTTTGTGCCAGCTACAAGTGTATTTGGCACGTTCATGAATGTAACAAACTGGTACTGTGGACCATACGGATTGTTGGCTGCCATTCTTGGGTCATTGATGGTTCTACCCCTGCCATCTCGGTCTTTAACAGGTGTTCTTCCTGGCTTGTGAGACCACCTACCACTAGAATCCAGTCGGTACCAGTGAAAGTCACCATCTCGCGCATTAAGTGAAGAATCTTCGACAATAATCAACAATAATTAATTCATAATTAGGGACTGCCCAATATTTATCAGGAGAGGGGTTGAGAATCCAGGGGGGGGGGCAACATCTAATTTTATGTGCATCAAGAGGGGGGGGGGCAACGTCTAAAATTTACTTTGAAGAACTTTAATTGGAAATTGAAAAATCAACGGTGTCAGATTCGAAAACTTCTTAAGAAAAGCGTGCCACGACAACTCTTAATTCACAAATAATAAATAAATTTACGGGGGGAGTGAGCAGATCGTAATTTTTTGTTTGTTTGGGGGGGGGGGGGGATCAACTTTTTTGATTTTTTGGCTCATAAATATTGCGCAGTCCCTATAAGGACGATGACGTTCACTGGAACAGATGGGAGTTAGATGAAGGATACTATATTCGCCTGTGTTTCTCTTTTTTTCTTTCTTTTTTTCGTTACAAAACTGTTGAGATAGTAAATTGCTATAACCTGCTCATTCTAGCAACCAGTTCTCATAAACTATACTGTGACATTTAACTAATTTAGTTAAAAATTTAGGTCCGTATTATGAAAAAAAAAAAACAACCCCCCCCTCCTTCACCCCATTTGTAAGGCAGCGTACGGACTTCAACTACCATTTGGAATGCCAATCAATGAAAACTTAAAGAGCATTATACCTGGGGCAACAACTAGTGCAACAAGGTGCGAGTTTGCAGGAGGGTTAGGGACAGCATCAGTGTCACCAACACGTTGTGTTACCACGCCGTCACCATTTGCAGCGGCCAGAACGCGATTAGCAGTAATTGGTCGAGCAAACCCGACACCGCCATTGCCCAAACCAGGTTGTGCGAACCTGAAATAAAACAGCAGATACAGATTAATAGGTGATCCAAAATAAATGAGCTATAGTCGCCGGTAAATAGCTTTTCACACGTTTATCTTTAATTAATCTCCGCATTTTTCAGAAACAAATATTGATAACGTACTTCATGTATTTATGTAAGAATTCTTAAGGGACGGTCCATTTAACTTTTGAGGGGGGGGGGGGGGGGGGGGGGGGGGTTGGATGATTTTTTTTTTCTTCGTGGCTTTTGGGTAGGATATACATATTTTTTGTCTTGGTGGTGTCTAGTAATTCCCTCCAATTCCCTCTAATTCTCCCCCTCCAAAAGTTAAATGGACCGTCCCTAAGAAGGAAAAAGACCTTCACAATTTACAATTCGATTTCTGCAATAATTAAAAAAAATGAAAAATGAAACAAAAATGAAAATGAACAAAATGAATAGGATTTTTTTCTTTAATGTCGCAATAAGACATTGAAGGATAGAACAGGGTCTTAATGTGGGGGGGGGGGTCTCAATGTTGGTAGTCAGTTAAAGTTTCAAGCATTTGTCGCTAGTCAGTTAAAATTCTAGGCATTTGTCGGTAGTCGGTTATTTAAAAAAAGTTGATAAATGCATCTAAAACAGTGCTTTATACCAACAGAATTCATTCTAAAATGCCAACAATTGAATCCTTAAGTCTTGATTGGTCAATTGGATGCCATTAAAGTTATAGAGTGGCTCATCACAACTTCAAGAAGCCAATCCGAAGCAAAAATTTTTCCGCGGAAAATTTTGAATGTAGTTGCTTGAAAAATAAAAAAAAGCTTGTATTCACGGAGCTAAGATCTTTGAATATTGGAAAATGTGGCCAGTCAGTAAATTTGTTAATGTCGGTAGTCAGCAAATTTGGTTCAAATTTGTCGCTAGTCAATAGTTATTTTGTCCATTTGTCGCTAGTCGGTTAACCCCATTCACTGACCCTGATAGAAATAACTACTCTGCTAGATTAAAAAAAATAATGATTTGAACAAAAATCATATGCGCTGACCTGTACCACGGTGGACTCGGAATGTCCGATCCATAGTTATAACAATTGTTGCAATACTGAATGATCCAATTTCTCCATCGATTCGTGTTGTACAGGGGGTAGTCCGGTGCGCGCTTATAAGGCTGATAACAAGAACAGGAAACACGAATGAATTCTTAATTCTATTATGAACAAGGACCGCGGAGCGATAATTTGTTTGGGGGACTAGCAGCGAGGAGGTACTAAGTGGGGTTGGGGGTGGGGGGCGAAAACTTTGAAATCTTAACTCTCGGAATGTCATTTCCAGCATTTTGGGATGCGATATATCCAAGACATATTTGCTGCACAAACGCTCAGCGATATTATCAGATAAAATCCCAAAGACTTCGTTGGAGACGGGGGAGTTAGGGGGGAAAGAAATCAACGTAAAGTATACTCATATGTAATCGTTTTTTGTTTTGTTTTGTTTTGTTTTTGTCTTGATGATAAAATACTTAGTATAGATCGCTTTTTTGTTAGTAGACCCCCCGCCCCCCCTGTGTTTGTGTTGTTGTTCTTGGTTGAAGAGCTCAAATCGTAAATCACAGTAATAAATGAGAGCTGAAAATGCTTTTTCAAAAGTAACAGAAAACAGAAAAAATTACGTCCTCTTCGATAATCTTATATCTGTTAATTATATATTAAATCATACCTTAATAGACGTCATAATTTCATTTGCATTTTCTAAGTTTCAGTTGTCCATAACTTAGAAAACACAATTTCTTTCTTTCTTTCATAAATATTTGGACCCTACAGCATTTCCTCTTTTGAATGAGAATGAATTTCTAATGTGCACTTGAAAAACCGTGAAGGATACTATTTTCATTTAGAGGACTATACCTTTTGAGTTAGCTTATAATTGTCGACTGGCTTGGCAGTTTCGTTTTTTATTGCTTCTATCATTATTGATCCAACCGTTTTAGAAATTTCATCCCTTGACATACCGCTATTTACGATCGCCACTTGGAGATCGAAGGTTTTATTCCCAACAAGATCAACTAGAATAAGAATACGTTTTCAGTTGACAATATCAATATTTGAGAATAAAGCATAAATACAAACGGGTATAACGTACACCATGTCGCCAAGTTGTCCTCGCTGATCATGATTCCTCTATAGCCAAGTTGAGACGGCATAGAATTGTTAGGAAAAGTAGCCTTTCTTTTTATAGCATCATCGTAGAGAGTCTTGATTTCATTGAATTCTGTGTCCTTCTCTGTAATATTCCATATTGGATCTTCGAGACCAGAGTAATAGCTTGGCGAGACAGTAAATGCCGACGCTAAAGTATAATTATAAAAGAATATGTGTGAAAATGAAAATATTAGACCTTTTCACTAATAAGATTGGACCATCTTCAATTCTATTATTTTCAGTATCGTTTCAGTGGGAAAGTATGGAATAGGATCCAGGGGACACTGGACACAAGAAATTCATAGAATGTAGGGCTTTTAAAATGCTACAAGATTAATTATCACATCTTAAAACGTAAAAACATCGCAAAGTATGAAATTTATATGTCATGAAGAAATGATTTAAACTTTTGATGTCTTGGCGTTTCAGCATTGATAGAGTCAGTTTTCATGTCAGTTATTAACGTTTCGTTAGTTTTTAGGTAGCTTGGAGTGATATTTCGAACTTGGTTAAAAACGGGTCAGTTCGACCATACTAGCTATGGTTCTAGCGTTGCTCTCTTCGGATCATCATGATATCTTCTTGAGGACTTCACTTCAGTATAGTTTTTTTTACTGTCCTTTGTATTTGTATTTGCGATAATTTTGATACGATCATGAACGATCGGTTCTGAACTGGTGAGAACTGTTAGATTAATCTTGAAACGACCCGTTCGAAATGTACGCCTCTAATCGTATTTTTTTCGATCGAGCAACCGTGTGACAACTATTATTTTGGGATCCCTGTGTTTCAGTTTGCAAAGCATCATGGGAGACTATACACGACGTTGATAGATATATGTATATAGATTGATTGAAGAAAAGGTATATTAAGACATGGTCTTCCACAAGATGCCCATAATAACGAGGTCTCAATAAGATCCAATGAGGTTAACTGTGAGCCGTGACGCTGAAGAAACAAACAAAAAATCGGAAAAAATAAAGAAAGAAAGAAATCGGAATTAACYGTTGTATTACACTTCGAAATCGTGGCCAGTGATATTAATAATTTTCTACTTTCAAGTTTCATACTAAGATTGTTTCGGTGTCCATGTTGATGCTTAGTGTTATATTTGTCTGATCTAGATTGTGTTCCAATAGACCTTTTGGCGGTTAAACCATTCGGGCAACATGTTTGCTACTCCAGCAGCCTTTTTACCATCAAAAATCATTTTCTCAAAATTAAGGATAAACAAGCTAATGCAAAAACGAAGTTGATACACGACATCCATTTCCGATGGAAAAACTAGCGCTACAACACAAGTTTCCCTTGACTTTGCGTGGAAAACATGGATTCTAATGAAAGGCGAGGTCCGGCAGATTAAATTCACTTACTTGCCAAATCCAAAATTGCAGCAAAAGCGAGTAACAGGATAACGGCCATTTTCATTGAGGTCCCTGCTGGAGATTTATCAAATTAAAAAAAAATAAAGTAAATGACATAAAAAAGCCAAAACAACATGACTTCACTAAAAACATGAAATAAATGCCAACACAGTTGTGACGATTGAAGTTTGTGACAGAAAGAGGAGTTTTTTTTAAAAGACTGGTTCTGATTTTTCAGGACAGGAATGAGTCGACACGATAATTTGGAAAATCAATAAAAGTTATAAGCATATAATAACAAAAGATTATACTATATTTTTGACACTAGTCTTGCCTAATGTTTTGGTTTCATTATTTCTTCATTTATAGCACACGACTAAACGTCATGAAATTTCTTAAAAAACTTACCTTGGAAAGCACTTGAAAGATTTGATCCTATTCTACGAAATCTACGGTGTTGGCTATATAGGCTTTTTGATCTAATGCTCCAGTAATTTTCACAGGTATTAGCTCATCATGAAATCATTGTACTAAGTTATTAGTAGGTTAATTATCGAAATTGATGAGGTGACGGTTTTGGCGGCCATCTTGCACAAGTAGGCAAAGTGTCGCAAAATAACAGTAAATGTATGGAGAACTAACAATGAGTTTACTCGCTCCCTATATCAAGTACGCCCTTCAAATTTTGCCAATTAATTCCTTCTTGTAGTATCTAACGTTTGCAACTGATAACTGTTTTGAAATTGGAATTAAGCGTGAATTATTTGACATCGATTTGTCACTGTATCCTTGTTATCATATATTTTGCGACACTCTACCTACTCCTCAGCAGGGGTGCCAAAACCGTCATCTCAACCATTAGTGGACGGCTTAATAGTTTAATGGAATAGTTTATGAATATTGGATATTTGGAATCTCTTGAATTTCATTAATTAGCCACGTCATTGCACTTCAAAGTAAAACAAGGAGCCAAGATTCAAAAATATCGGTATTAATTTTGTGTACGCGTGTCGCTTAAGTTTTTAGTTTGTTATTTGGATGGGAAATGTCAGATTAAACTCAATCGATGTCGCTTTGACATAATCACATGGCTAGCTGGTTTACTTTCGATCCTGAATCCAAAAAAGACACTGCATTGGTTGAAAAAGGTAAGCTTTTAACGATCATCTTACAAAACTTGGGATTAATTGATTAAAGTACGTGACTGATGTGAACTTTTAAAATTCGGCTCCGATTATTACTGCGAAATTTCCAAGGATTTCATTTGGGGAAAGAAGTCAGATTTTTACTTTTAGTATCACGATCGACTAAATAAAGACAATTTTATGTGGCTGAAACGGTTCTATGTAACTAAGTGATGTACATCAGACGTTTGAAAAGATGTTAATAAACGTAGGCAAATGAAATGACATCAAAATACTATAACAACCGAAGCTAACATCAAAAGATTATAATTAAATTTGTTTAAAGTTGTGCTCTTCCTAAAAGCATGTTCTGTAATTGAGGCCTTTCACAAATTTGCACATAGAGTCTGTGGTTCATATTTCAAAACTCCGAAGGCATACTAGCTTTTCGCTAACAAACTGTAATACGGACACTGAAGAAAGGATATCCGGCTTTTGCATTCCTATGACATGATTTAAAAAAAGTCAGAAACATTAACTCGCTAACGAAAATTTGAAGTAAAAGAAATCTTATTGTTTTCTATTCAGTTTTTCAATATGGCCGACCTCACGAGATGTTGCGATATAAAGACGTCCAGTAATACAACTACAAACTAGAATATTTTGTTTCACTGTTTTAGAAAACAATTTATCTGCTTCTTTTTTTGTTTTGTTTTTTTTTTTTTTTTTTGCCGAAAAGGCATAAAAATCATCCGAATACAACGAATAAAAATCAGACGAAAAGCATTATGGTAGTTCAGTGAAAACTTGGTGGCATATCATAAAATTCTTTGCAATATCTCCCGCAAGCTAAAAATGAATTATTTGTTTGTTTACAATATTTTTACTATGGCTACAAAGCTATTCTTCTCAATAAGCATTCCGCTGTGTTTGCTTTTCGCATTTCCTAGAGTACAAACACTAAAACTGTGCAACATAAATACCACTAAATACTTCTAAGTTATGCTAATTCTACTGTTTTCTATTGTTTAACCAACACTATTTTGTAGTAAATAGTGGAAAGTGTTGCACACATTTAATGTTTGTACTCTAGTACGTGTATCCTTGTTTTTTGCGACACTTTGCCTACTCAGCAGGGGTGCCAGAGCAGTTAACTCACTTAATGGAATAATGGAATAGTTTATGAATGTTGGATATTTGGAATTTCTTGAATTTCATTACTTTTAGCCATGTCATTGCACTGTACGCGTGTCGTTTAAGTAATAGCCGAGTAAGAACTAGGGAAGCAAACGGCAAAGGAATGCAAGAAGGTGCTAATTCTTGTGTTTTGTATAATCTATCCATCTCATTGGTTAAAACATGAAATCTGGTATAATATTTTTCTGTTTTCGGTTTCATGAAAGCTTTCTTTAGCTTAAATATCAAGGCAATTCTATGTGGGGAACATAGCAAATTAATGGCATATTCTTTTGAGTGCATATGATTGGATAAGACTTTTTAATACAAAAGAAACTCAAAATAGAGTTCATCCGCATTTTATTTTAAAAATGTGTTACCCATGGGTTGATATATAATCAGTGTGAAAACCAAGACATTCTTATGTGGGGAAGTTGAAACGCCGCAGAACAATGGAGAGTTCCCTAGTTCTTAAGCGCATTGTTACTTTATATAATTTTTCACGAGAGTCACGCTCTGATGACCCCGGAAATTACACAGAAATGTATGGAGAACTGAAAATGAGTTTACTAGCTCCCTAGATCAAGTACGCGCTTCACATCGAGTTGTCACTGTATCCTTCACTTATATATTTTGCGACACTTTACCTACTCCTCAGCAGGGGTGCMAAAACCCTCATCTCAACTATTAGTGGACGGTTTAATGGAATAGTTTATGAATATTGAATATTTGGAATCTCTTGAATTTCATTAATTAGCCACGTCATTGCACTTAAAATTAAAACAAGGAGCCATTATTCAAAAATATCGGTATTGCCGGATTTTGTGTACGCGTGTCGGTTATTTTTTACTTGCTTTTAAATTAGTTTGTTATTGGAAGGAGAAATGTTAGATAAAACTCAATGGATCTCGCTTTGACATGATGTATAGGCTAGCTGGTTTACTTTCGATCCTGAATCCAAAAGAGGCACAGTATTGGTTGAAAAACATGTGAAAAAGGTAAAGTTTTAACCGAATCATCTTACAAAACTTGATTAGAGTGCGTGCCTGATTGAAACTGAACTTTTAAATCTCGACTGAGTTTATTGCTGCGAAATTTGCAAGGATTGCAGTTTGGTACTAGACGTCAGATTTTTCAGATTTTTTTTATCTTGATCGAAGACGACTTTATGTAGCTGAAACTGATCCAAAGTGTTGTACATCAAACGCTACAAAAATGTTATTTCAAAATTTCCGACGCCACTTATTCGCTGCAATACAAGCTGTATTGCAGACACTGAGAGGATGATATCYGGCTTTTGTATTTCTATGAGTTGTTTTAAAACAAATCTTAAAAAAAGACAGAATCTCCCTAAAGAAAATTTGGAGTAAAAGAAATTCTATTTTTTTCTATTGTTTTTCAATATGGCCGAYCTCACGAGATGTTACGATATAAAGACGTCCAACTGTAATACAACTACAAACTAGTATATTTTGTTTCACTGTTTTAGATAGCAATTTATCTGCTTGTTTTTTGTTTTTTGTCTTTTTTGGTTCAGTGAAAACTTGTGACATAATATAAAATTCTTTGCAATATATAACTCTAGGAAGCTAAAAATGAGTTATTTGTTTGTTTGCAGTGTTTCTACTATGGCTACAAATCTATTGTTCTCACTAAGCATTTCGCTGGTTTTGCTTTTMGCATTACTTCCTAGAAGGTAAGTCCTTGTTTGTTTGCGACAATTTGCCTAAACCTCAGCAGGGGTGCCAAAACCGTCATCTCAACTTGGACGGCTTAATAGTTTAATGGAATAGTTAATGAATGTTGGATATTTGGAATTTCTTGAATTTCATTACTTTTAGCCATGTCATTGCACTGTACGCATGTCGTTTAATTTTTTCACGCGCATCACGCGCTGATGACCCCAGAAATTCCAGAGAAATGTATTGAAAACTGAAAATGAGTTTACTCGCTCCCTAGATCAAGTACGCCCTTCAAATTTGGCCAGTTAACTCCTTTTTGCAGTATTTAACGCTTGAAACTGATAACTGGTTTCGAATTGGAATCGGGAATTATTTGACATCGATTTGTCACTGTAACCTTGTTATATATTTTGCGACACTCTACCTAATCATCAGCAGGGGTGCGAAAACCCTCATCTCAACTATTAGTGGACGGCTTAATGGAATAGTTAATGAATGYTGGATATTTGGAATCTCTTGAATTTCATTAATTAGCCACGTCATTGCACTTAAAATTAAAACAAGGAGCCAAGATTCACAAATATTGGTATTGATTTTGTGTACGCGTGTCGCTTAAGTTTTACTTGCTTTTAAATTAGTTTGTTTTTTGGATGGGAAATGTCAGATAAAACTCAATCGATCTCGCTTTGACATAATCACATGGCTAGCTGGTTTACTTTCGATCCTGGATCCGAAAGAGGCACTGCATTCTTGAAAAAAGGTAAACTTTWAACAACCATCTTACAAACTTGTTTTAATGGATTAGAGTACGTGCCTGATTGAATCTGAACTTTTAAAACTCTATTTTACTTTTTCAACTTTATTGCTGCAAAATTTTGAAGGATTGTATATTGGGGGAAAGAGGTCAGATTGTCCCATTTAGTATCCTGATTGATGACGACTTAGCTAAAACCAGATTATTAGTAGAGGAGACTACCAATACCCTCTACAAACTCTGCTGAAACAGCTCCACGTGTTGTACATCAAACGCTAAAAGTMCTAAAAAATGTTACCGTAGACAACCGAAATGACAGTCAAAATGCTATAAACAAACGAAGCGAAGGACAACACAAGATTCATCAACCTTGTTGCAAATYGAGACTATTTATAATTTCGCACATAGATTTATGAGTGGTCATATTTCAAAACTTCCGAAGCCACTTTTTGCCACAATACAAGCTGCATAACGATCACTGAAGAAAGGATATCCAGCTTTTGTATTCCTCTATGAGGTGATTCAAAACAAATCATAAAAGAAACAGCATCGACCTCACTTAATAAAATTTAGAGTCAAAGAAATTCTTCAATGTTACATGTGAATTTGTATTTTTCCGATGAAGTTTACAAATCATTGATGATAAAATTTAAGGAAATTTCTAGAAAAGAAATTTTACTATTGTTTTTCAATAGGGCCGAGACCTGACGAGATGGCATAGAGACGTCCWCTAATACAACTACAAACTAGAAYATTTTGTTTCAATGTTTAAGAAAACATTTTGCTTGTTTCATTTTGTTTCGGRAAAGGCATCAAAATCGGAATACAACGAACAATATCTCCAGCGAGATAAAAWTGGGTTATTTCTTTGTTAACAGTGTTTCTACTATGGCTACAAGTCCTACAAGTCTATATTAATTGTTTTCAATTAGAATTCCGCTGGTTTTGCTGTTCGCATATGCATGCTTCGCGATGCAGTAAAACTACGGAGTCAATTTATGGCACAGCCAGTAGWATAGAAAATCCGATTTCAACACAAAAGAAATTTGGAGTTCGGTTTGGAGCTTGTGATGTCTTCTCTTTTTTTARAAACAATGAGGTCATTCCTATTTTTAGAAATAATGATGCCATCTCTATTTTTAGAACTATTGGAATCGATGACGTCCTACCACTTTTAGTTGATAACGTCATTTCAATTTCCATATATTCGGGTTTTAGCAGCACTTGAAAGCATTCATCGTTAATTAGTTGAGTTATTTAGTATTTTTTTACAGCCTGGGATGGACGTTTTCATGGCGCTCGTATTCGTTCAGATCTTCTCGGAGGCTCAYAAACATCAGGGATCTTGATAACGCATCCACCATTGGGCTTTAGGAATTAGGAGAATTTCCTTTATCTTTTAGAGGTGTAGGCGAAAATTCTGTTGGGTCCTATATCGAWGTCGTGATTGGAGTGGAACCAGAACTAAGTCCTGTCTGATTTTGAAGGAGCAACATTGGATCTCACATGGATCTATTTTCGGTGGAGTTTTGAAAGATTTTTTGACTTTGGATGATATACGCTGAGAAAGTAAGGGCTCTT